AAGAGGGGTCCCGTGTCGAGAGGCTCCGTGTCACTTAGCCAGTTACCGCAGCAACTGATCATTCTCGGAGCCAGCCATTCGGATAAAGGGTCAGCCACGATTTCAGTCTTCATCTCCCCCTCTTAACCCGAACCCTCTTTCTCCTGCACACGTCTCACGTGTGCATCCAATCTTTCTGGCTTTGATACTTTCTATCCCTTTTTCGAACGTCTTATGGTTTGACCCCCTTCACCTTTTCTTCCTGTTTGAAAATGTCCTTAACAGTTGATTCTAACAGTATTATTTTCCCCCTGAGCTTGTTAAAGGGCCACACACAGCACGGAATAGTGTCACACCTCATGTCTTTCAATTTCCTCCACCAGAAGGTCAATGTTGCTCTTCTTTCCTTCTTAAATTCTGTCTCCTTTGGTCGCTTTTTCCACAGTTCACATTCCGAAAACCGACCTAAATGTGTCCAGTCCTGGAGGTGCTCTCAAAATATTTTACGCCTACGAAAAGTCAGACAGTCTCGCAGTTCTTTCTTACTCGTTTTTATTGAAAACCAAAAAGCCGCATCAAGTAGATTTCTACAGGCCCATCTTACCTCCCTTCTGTCTGAGGTGCTGTTCACTTTTTTTCAGCAGGTTCTGTGCTCCACACTGCAATTCGTGTTTCATTATCACGGCTGAAAGATATGTTCCTATCATCCTCAAACATCTTTGCGCCTCATGAATGCATTGGGATTTTAACCAGATAAAACAGACACTTTGTTTGAATAGCTTCTTCCAGGAATACATATTTGAAATTCTAAAGCTGAAAAAAGGACCCTCACTCAAGCCTTTTCAAATTTGAATGGAAGTGAACCTGGCTACCTGTCATTTGTCAACCTCAGTTTTGTAATGATAGGTCTCTGCTCTACTAAGTTGCATACAGTACATGGATTGTAAAAGCTGAGTAATAGCCCAGAGCAACCGTGCAAGCTGCACAGATTTATTAATTGCCGCGTAGAATCACACTGGGTCTACTGTAGTTGCATCGACAACAAATAATGTTATGCAAGCAGCAGTAAGGTTAGTAGAACTTGGGGATTGGAGTGACTAGAAAGCAGATACTGGGTGCGAGCACTATTGTCAGATCAGAAAAGTAATTGCACCAGTTTTTGCATTGACTTGCGTCACATCGTTCACACCACCAGTGAATTGAAACATGATGCATAAACTGCTATTTTGGTATATCCATGTCCCTTTTTCCAGTTCCTTTTTCCACCCACTCAGTTAATCGTACCCCTGCAGCATGTACTTTACATGTCTGATTGATGTATTAGCAATGACTGCCTTAATAGTAAGCCTTCTCCGTGACTGTTTACAAGCCTTGCTGCTATTTGGGGATTCCTTGATCCTTCCCTGCAGATGGGATATCAAAACATGGCGGCCCCACAATTAGAAGTAGATAAAAAGCTCAGTGTAAAGGCTGGGGGTCAAGCCCAAGTCGCACGATCCAAGGTCAGACAATGAAAGAGATAAGAGCTTATACTGGAGGTATTTTCTGTGACCCCTTCACAAAGGTCTAATGTTGTTGTTGTTGTCGTAGTGTTAGTAGAAGCAGGGCAGAGATTACTGCTCGTGGCCTCAGATCAGACAGATTGAGCAGGGGCTGGGGGGTTTCACGGTCACTTAAGAGCACGACACACTTGGACAAGCTCCCTTTACTGGGCATTAAACACAATTAAGCGAAAGCGCTCTATAACTCCCTACCTGGACTCTTAAACCACCTTGTGTTCCCCTCGCGAGCATTAAGTCCTACTCTATCTGGCCTCTTAAACTATTGCCATAGTTCTATTCCTCCCCTGCTTCCACTGAACCATTCCTCACGCTTTACATAATCTGGCCTTATGTATATTAGCTGCACTATAGGGACATGACCTTTACCAGCTTTTTCAATTGACGTATTCATTCTCCTTTTTTTAATTAGGGTTGCACAAAAGGGCCATCGGGTGCTTCCCAGCTAATACAGTCGCCTCTGAATTATTTAGACTATAGATGATTGAATGTCGTACAACACTGCTGCTCCTCTCTTTCTCTCCCCCTCTCACGAGTGGTCAGACCACTCTTACGTTCTGGGTGATGAATCCAATGCAACTTTACTGTCATATATATGTGACTAAACGAGTGTCCTTCTCTCAGATTCTGCAGGGCGGGCTTATTTGCTGCCCCCCTTGCCTTCGACCTTGACAGCAGCACTCAGACTTTGTTTGTTAGAGCGCCTACTTCAATCATTCACAAGATCACACCCGCAGCATTGTCTATCAGTGCTAGAGTTTGAGCACCTTTTATCTACCCTGAGTCATCTATGCACATGCAGCCTTGATTATTTTTCTCTCCGTGTCCTCACTTTTAATTGCAGCTTGTCATCTCAGTGCCTTCAGGAGAGCATGTGTATTCATTCAATTTTTTGTGAAATGTAATATTAGACACACATAAAAAAACGAGTAATGTTCTAGGGTGGTATTCTTTAAAAATATAAGTATAACTATAGACATACTGTATGTAAATGTGGTTCTTTGAGTGGATGCACTTCACAAAGTTTTGCAGGGATGCAAAACTCAGCAGCAAAACAGTTACCTACTTTGTTAGTCTAACAATTCAAACTAAATGGTAGCAGAAAATGTCATTCTAAATTTAAAAGAAAGACACATTTCATGAATTCGGTTTCTTTATTAAATGAAAAGGTGTTAAATATCACTTCAATGAAGCTGTTCTCAGCAAGCAAATCACAGACAATGAACTTGGCATTTCAAATTCCCTGCAGCTACAGTATAGGGAAGTTAAATGCAAAGTTAAAGTTTATATTATGTTAATTCTAAAGTTGATTAACATAAATGCAATTGTTTGCCTTAATAAATATGAATGCCAATAATAAACACTAATGCAGTGAAGTTCACTACCTTCAGGTTACTTCATATTGTGTCCTTGTGCGTTGCTTGAAATATATAACTAATGTTTTGACTGTAGCTAAAGTTATACTACAAACAGTACAAAACAGTAATTCTTTTAAGATACCTGGGAAAGTGTCAGAAGATTTGTTATTTTCAGGGAAAGCATAATCCCTGAGGTACACCTACTGAAACAATGTCCGTCATGGAGGTCAGCTGCACAAAGGTCATGGGTTATTTAGAAAGTCACTGCACTCCTCTGACACTGGAGATGGGGTTGCTCTCAACTCAGTTTATGTACCTACAGATCCTATAGGACTCATTAGACCTGATGCATCCCCCACCACCTTGTCAGGCTTGCATTTAAAACCCCAATGTTTGCCTTCCACATCATCCCCAGACATCTCTGAGAGCCACTTTTGAGTTTGGTGGACTTGTAATGTGCCATTTAGTCATTTAGTTTGCCTGCAATGTGACACAGCTGATCAGCAGAATTGTGCTATCACTTGTTGTGAAAGTGCTGCAGCACATCTCAATGTTTGTTGTGCTATTCATCAGTTACATGTTGTCCGATTTTGATCATGAGCGCTGTGTGTGGTCGATTCATTCATTTGTTGTGAAAGAACAAAAGGAAGCAGGGATGTATTCATAACTCCTAACTGCTGATGACTGTGTGTGCACACGTTAGTGTGTGCTTTGGTGTGTGTTTATTTGCATGCACGGCAGGTTTTGCACATATTGCTGACAGGCAAGTGTTCTGTGGTGCGAAGATGAGAAAGAAAAGGGGAGCAGTGGGAATAGAAAGGTAGAAAGGGTGACGCTGCGATGATTTACCATGGTGCCGTGCCATATTTTACCTCATTCGAGATTTCTTTGGGTATTTCATTCTGTTAGGCCCCGGCAAAAATGTAATTTGTAAGAAATAATAAATCTGTTTACAGTTCTGTTTCAAATGGGTGTTGAGAGATGTATCATAGATCTCTTCATTTTGCTCTCAAAGTGCACCAGATTGATGCTTTCAACTTCAATATTTAAAAAACAACTCTTCCTGGGGGAGCATGCCCCCCTATGTGAGGTCCACACACCGCCTATAAAATAGCACTTTACCTCTGCTTACACCTATATGCCGTGAGCTGATCATTGTAACAGTCGTGGGTACACGGTGTATGTGCGTGGGGAATGTTGCAGTAGAACATTCCACTGTAGCGACCGGTACATTCATGGGAAACCCTAAATGTTTGAGCACCCTCTATGAAACGTCAAGCTACCCCACAGCACCCCAAAATAAATCTCTGGTGCCGCCACTGAGCCTGCAACCCCGTTTTGAAGAAATGTGCAGTGCAAAACAGGCTCATTGCAGCCACTAATGCTGTAATAAGAAGACACAGTTTTTTTGCCAAATATCAGCATTTTCTTTCTTTTCATTTGTTTGCACATATTGCAAAGTGGCAAAGTATTATAACTTATTGTTCTAGCAAAGGGATTGCACATTTGTATTATGTTTTTGTTTTTTAGCACACAGACTTATGGAGCATTGTTTTATTATCACTGTTCTAGCAAAGGAATGCTCACGTTCATATTGATGTATTTTAATAAATGTTAACTTGGCCCATTACGTGACTATTTGTGTTGGGGGGGGGCCAACTTTTTTTTTCTCCAAAGGGGGTGCCTGAAAGAAAAAGTTTGAAAACCCCTGCTCTAGATGAACCTCAAATCTACTGCACGTCGTTTTGGGAACGTTTTTAAATGTTTGAAGGTGGCAGTAATTACATCTATGTTTGTTCTGGGTTCAGCGTTATCAGCTCCCACATGCAGAATAAGCACGGCCCGAGTCCAATTTTTGCTAATCTCCTGCAGGGCTGTTATTTGCTTATCATAGTCTTAATTGGTGTAAACCTTTTTGATTTTCGTGTTTTTGTGACTATATGGGCAATAGCGCCTGTTGCACTGGGCTTTTTTTGTTTTTATTAAGAGATAACCTACCCCAACGCTACTGTAATTTTTCTAAAAGGTCTGTCATTATAAGCAAATCTTGAAGGGGCGATCTTTAAATTGTACTTGTTCGTAATAATCACTCCTGAAGCTAACCATGAAAATCTGCTGTTGGTGTCCTAACTCTTTCTTATCTCTTGCCTTTCAGTTATGTGGCTGCGGGCTGCTGGGCGTGGGCATCTGGCTCTCTGTGTCGCAGGGCAGCTTCGCCACCTTCTCGCCCTCATTCCCCTCACTGTCCGCTGCCAATATGGTCATCGCCATCGGAGCCATCGTCATGGTAACGGGCTTTCTCGGCTGCCTGGGTGCCATCAAGGAGAACAAGTGCCTGCTTCTGAGCGTGAGTTTAATTTACATACCTACGCAATGTCCCATTATAAATAAGACACCCTCAGATTGCTTTCTTCTTATAAATACATTCACACACTGCGACTCCTCTCTGACTGTTTCTCTCCTCCTTTGAATATTTTCACATTCCCCAAGCAAATATTGACTGAAATGTCTTGTGGAGACAGCCTCTCACATATGTGTCTACACACCCACCCACACTGGTCACAGGCCAGAGAGAACTCAGCGGTGTATCTGTGTTTGTCTTCCGGCGTAGGTAGGCGACTGACAGGACGGGTTCAGTCTGCATTGTGTCAAACCTCAGGGACTCTCATGGACAATTAAAGAGCAGTGTGAATCTCCCATTCTGCAAATGAACACCAACGCATTTGTGTCATTCCAATGACTCTGGACACATCCCAGAGAAAGCTGTCAGTCAAGAGGCCTTTTGTGTCACCACAAGGTTGAATTACCAAATGTACAAAGCGCGCTGAAAGCTCTTGATACTTCTGAGCTCAATATTGGGGATGTTCTATTATTCCTTACAAAGTCTCCTCATTGCACTTTTGTCGCATAGTTGTACAGGTGTTTTATCTTGAGCAAGTTCATTATAAAAGTTCAACCAATAGAATGAAGTTAGCACTGCGAAAAAAGAAAGAAAGGGAAACTTTTATGAGAAGTGGAGTTGGGGCTCTTGGTACTTAACATCACAAACCGCTCAATCCCTTGAAGCTCCGGCATCAGTCAAAAGCTCCATCGAATCCTGAGTGTTCGACATGGCTTCCTCCACCTGCCTAACAGGTGTGAAGCAGCGAGAGGAAGAGAGCAGAATAGCATATAATATAAAAAATAGCAGCTTAATGGAAAATGTTTTTATGCTTCTCATTAAGTCTCTTTCGACATCTGTATGTCAGCTTTTCACATTTAGCCTTGATAATTCTTTAATACAAAGGTGTATGCATGTCATTGTTGTTTTTTATCCCCAGTCCATCTGTCCCGCTCAATACACCCTTGGGTGTGTGTGGTGGGGGAGTGCAGGATATATAGAAACATCAGAGTGGGTTTAGATCTCCCGCAGCAAACAGATCTGAGCATTTACCTTGAAACATTATCTCTGAAGATACTCTGCGGACAACTCTCTCTGGATTAGCAATATTCAAAGGCTAGACATCCTTTGCGGTACATTTTCAGTCTCTCTTTTTCGCTGCCAAAAAGTGTTTACTGATACAAATTGTAGCGCAAAAAAAAGTGGGAGAGAGAACACTAAAATATCTGACTGAAGCTCTTTAAAACCTCAAAGTGTGAATTGCTAGCAAATTAGAACATACACACAAAGCTGTGTGTGAATAAATACAGACACCTTCTCACTTTATGCCATCAAAGCACCACCAATTTAGTGTACAGAAGCTGTCCCTTTCAGCACCAGTAGAATGTGACAAACCAACTGTGAAGTGATAACAGCAATACGCTGAACTGGCAACCCAGATGGTTGACTAAACTGTTGTTCATTTGGGCCTTGACACAAATAATAGTCTAAGCGCTTCTTTCTAAATGGGTTTGTAATAAATGGGTTTTCCAGAATCTGGGTTTGTGCACAGCCTCATCCCATGCTGTGCAAAAGAGCTTGGTAAATATTGAGCTGAAGTGGAGTCAAGTAGGGTGAGGACAACAGTAGATGAGATGCAAGGCTGTGTTGGGAGAGAATCTTGGGGGGTTTATTAAGCCTTATTTCCTTCCTCTCACACGTTCACATGCCCTCCAGCACTTACAGTAGATTCCCCTTTTTTCTTCCCACCTTTTTCTTAATCTCTATTTTCTGTCTTTCATTATCTACTTTAAACACTTTGTTTTACAATCACACATTCCCTGCACACTAGCTGAACATTTGCTGTAGTTTAAAATATTGAAAATATGTTCATTTTCTTTCTTGCCGCTGGTAGTCAGTTGGATTAGTTTACCGCAAACACAGGAACTGGTAGCAGCACCCCAGGAGCTCACTTATTAAAACATTACATCTTGTTTGTTTAAGTGGAAGGCTTTTTTTTGGCAGCGTGAAAATATCCTGGAGTTTTATTGTCAATTAGATTATCATGCAACCAACAGAGACTCAAGTCTAGCAAATTAACCCCATAAAATGACGTGTCTTTTTTGCAATTTGTATATATTTAGCAGATAAGATATATAGTATTAATTAGTGAAATGTAGTGGTGCTGATAGGCCCATTTTTTTACCCTTGGACTAAGTCAAACTAGCTAGCTAGCTAGCTAAACTACGCTAACATCGTTTCATGTTAACCATACATGAGTATCATCTAACTCTTGAGAGAGCATTATGCATATTTTAGAACTATTCCTTTACCCTAAATTGACTTTATTTGACGTGAGAGTATCAATAAAAAGCTCTTTGAATCACACAAGCAGAGACTTTTGAAAAATGCACATGACTCTCGGATACAATATTCAACATGTTTGTATCAGCATTAGTAGGTAGATCAACACTACTGTCAGAGCAATGTTAAATCAAGCCCCCCTTCCCCTCTCTCTGTCTGACAGTTCTTCATTGTCCTGCTGATAATCCTCCTGGCAGAGCTGATACTGCTCATCCTGTTCTTCGTGTACTCAGATAAGGTAAGTTCATTTGGCTTACCATGTTATGGATGTTAAAGCTAATGTATGGTATTGTTGCTCTTCACTCTGTAACATTTTCTTTATGCCTACCAGCCTATTTCTACAGCTTATCCCTAAGGTGTACAGTACATGCAATGCATCAGCTGTCAGGCGTACATTCATGTCTTAAAGCGAACAGACGCACAAAAGCTACACAAAGTAATAAGGTGTTAGTGTGATAAACTCTCTTCTCCGGTTGCTTCCGGGTATCTCAGTTCACTCTGTTTTCTGTGGTTGTTTCTCATGCAGGAGGCTGAATATCTTCACTCAGCCACTAATCCTGCAGTCAAAGGTTAGGCCATAAAATACAGCCAAATCCCACCAGTTGGCTCCCTGTAATTGGCCCCAACCACATTTCCCATGACCCCCACATGGGCTTGAGTCAGGTGAATGTCTGTCTGGTTAAAACAGATGACGATATGTAAAGCTGTAGAGACTTTCAACAAACAGACTCTTCTCCATGTGTCATCACATAGACAAATGTTTAAATCGTAACATGACAAATGTCTTGTGCGGGAATAGGACTCAAGACTTTTATCTGTTTTCAAGGACACGTCGTAGATAGATCCGTCTATTTACATTATCTTGATGCTGCCCGGCCCGTGGGGCGCGAGCTAATTCTCGCTCATTTGTTCTGAGGTTATTGCTCAAACTTAGTCTCTCAGGCAGATAAAGGAATTCATTTAGCAGACAATCCATTCTCAGATTTAGGTCTCGGAGGCAAACCCTGTCAGGAGTAAATAATGTCTGTTGCCTTATCTCCAAAATATTACAGGCTTAACTTTGAAAAAAAATAAACTCCAAAACCTGATGTGGAATTTAAATGGAGACACCCTTGACTTCACAGCAGCGCTTTTCCACTGCCTCTGAAGTTTGGAAAAGATAGCCAAGTGGGCTGAGAATTTATTTAATGTCAAATCAAATGAGTGTGCATTAGTACGGGGGAGGGCATTAGTCGGGTAGAACTGCCTCATTCACACCAGTGAATTGCAACCATATTTTATGTTTCCCTCATGTTGCCAAATGACAGTGTTTATCCTGGCTTAGACTTAATGGGATGTGAAACCACCATCGCAATCCAAATATATTTCCCTTTATTGGTCTTCCAATGTCATTGAAAAGAAAAGTAATAGAAGCAAATTACTGTATATCTTATTGGAGATGGCGTCTTTACACGGCCTCCATATAAGACATCCTGCACATTTCAGGGAATTGTATGTCAGTGTTTTCAGACTGCATTATATGTCAGGAATGTCAAGATTGGTTGAAGGACAGTATGTGTCTGTCACGCAAGGCCTTCAGACATTGCCGTGTTTTTTTTCCCTTCCTCTTGACTTGCCTCTCCCCAGTGAGATATAGTATGCTGTGTGAGGCTCTCCTCATCCTATGCTACAGGCTGTGATCAGAGGAATCACTAATTCACTTCTCCTGTTTGATCTTCTAATCACAAGGCATTTATTAACAAGTCTGGAAGACACAAAGTATTTGGCAGCTTTTGAATGTGTTTCGGCGCGTAAAACAGATATTTTAGTCTTTCAAATGGGTCATCTTAAAATCATGAAAAACTGTGATCCTTCCGGGTGACAAGCTGTCGACGAGATGTGGGAAAGAAACAAACATATAGTATCTGGTTTTTCCTGTGGAACACATTTTTCCGCAGCTTTCATTTAGTCACACTTTCTTCCTCTCCTTATTTCTGCATTTCCACCAGTTTAATCCTACTTAAGAGCTTCTGCTCTTTCTTCTTAATGGAGAATTTCGCTCTCTTCTCTTTCAGCCCGGCAGTCTTGCCTCCAGGTATGTGTAGGTAGCCCCTCTTTCCATCCAAAGCCCAGTGGTGTTAAGCTCTCTGATTAAATGCCATGTAGAGGCCGTGGTATAATAAAGACAGGCCCTGCAGTTAGCAAGCAGCTGACTACAGCAGATGGCTGGGCCACAAACCAGATTACAACCATCCGTCTTAAATGCAGTGACCTCATTGTTACTGCCTCTGCCGGCCAAACACGCCTAGCTGAACACCGGTTTTCTAGCTCAGAATTAGAAAGCAGAAACTGGTAAGCACAAATGGGAAGCACTATGTGCTAGGGGCTAGGGAGAAGGGGAAAATGCAGAGGTGGAGGTTGATACAGGTGAGAAAAAAAGGGAGGTGAGATATCTATGGCAGGGAAGGAAAAGAAGATAAATGTGTAGGGTGTTAGAGGAAAGAGGAAGAACACAAGGGAGGGCAAATGTGGCAAAGGTGAGGTGTCCCTGCATTTTTCCTGTAATTTAAGCCAGAGTCAAGAGAAAGTCATGGAGCAGGAATTAAGGTTGATTACAAAGGTCACTAGAGACAGTTGTTTTGTATAATCTCCTAGCAATATCCAGAGAATCAGCACTTTGTCCCACGTTTCTTCCATCATACATGTATCGAACAACAGTAGATTGCCCTTCTTAGAAGCCGTCTCACTTACTGGAAATTCTACATTTGGTTTAGGTAGATTGTGCAGAATGCAGGAAGGGTCACATTACATTACCCTACAGAAAGACGCTCCAAAATCGTGTCGTCATTTCTCTTAGCATCTTAGTGTAAATAACCCTTCCTTTCAACTTTTGTTTACTCCTGGTTTAACAACAACAGCGTTGTCACGAATAGGCCCATTTGCTTGCTACCTCTTCATACAATGACCGGCGTTATTCACACATTGGCTCTATCATTACACTACAATGGAGCTGGCAGGGTAAGGTCTGTTTTATGGCCATTCCAAATTATCCTAAAATGTGCATTCTCACAAATAGCTCCTCTGTAAGGTCATGTTTAGATGATTTCAGAATCGTATTGCATGTGTGAAAAGGGCATAGTTTAGAGAGCAGGGAAGGCTATCCTACACCCATTACATTACATTACATGTCACTTGTTCGACGCTTTTATCCAAATCCCCACACGAGCAATTTGGGGTGAAGTGTCTTGCCCAGGGACACAACGACATGCTGACTGCAGTGGGACTCGAACTTGCTACCCCCTGATTCAAATTCAGCGCACTATACCACTGAGCCACAGTCGCCCATGATTTATCTTAATAACAACCCAACAAACCAGCACCCATATCTAGTCATGTGTTGCATTCGTTTACAGAACGAATTATGTTCACTCCCTGGCCCAGCTTTATTTATTTCCAGACCAATTACAGAGAAGTAGTGAGGTCTTCCCCTCGCTCTGTCGAGTGCCCTGGCCTCAGGCTCCCCGGCACAGGCTTGCAGAGCAACTGAGGGAATCAAGCATCCTTTTTAATGATGTGCTGTTGGGGACCTCTGGCTGTGATGCTGTTTCTCTCCACATCATTTAATACACTTTCCGGGCAGTTAGCTAACGCACTTGTCCAGTTGAGCAATGAGAGCAAGAGTAAAATATTGTTAGGTTCCGTTCTCAGGGTACTCGAGAGTCAAAGGATGTGAACATTAGAGCCAGTTTGCCCTGACAATATACATTTGACCCTTGACGTATTGTGAAATAGAGTTGAATTGCATTGATCACCTTGGAAAGAGGAAACATTACATTGAATGTAACACATTTGGTGTAGAAAAGAAGGTTGGTGTGGGTTCACATGAGCTGATCCTTCAAAAGCTAATAATGTAACAAAGGTTGGGACTAGAAGTTCAGTGTTTGGTTATGACGTAACACTTTTTTAATACTGTTGTTAAGCTCACTGAAAATAAGCACAACAGAGAGTGTAGTCTGACAATAAAGAAAAATAAGTGACAATTTGTTCAGAAAGATTTAACCATTTTGAGACTTCATAAAAGGATTCATGTTCAAAGACTGGATGTGAGATTAAAGCGAGGAGAAAAGGTGAGAAGAGTAGGGAATACAAATCGGCAAAAGAGTAGTCCTGCAAAGTGGAAATGTGGAATAACTACAATCCTCTTTTTTACTGTAAATACCCACACGATGTATGCCTATTCCCCGCTGTACCATTGGCAGGATTATAAAGCTTAGTTGCTTTTATGGAAAAGATTCCACACATTTTTAGGCTAAGCTACCTTCTAGAACAAGTCAGCAGCTAGCCGGTGAACACAGTGGATCATATAGAAATGACAGAGATAACTCCAAAAATACTGCACTAGTATCTGAACACATACATGTAAATTGAGTTAACAATCTGGACTCAAGTATATATGTTCATTTAATTCAGTTCTAACAGTTACTTACCTGTATATCATTTGTGTTTTATCTTGAATTGTATTATCCTTCTGTGAATCTGTACTGTCCTGATGTTCGCTCTCACTCTGTTGCTCCTTAAACTCCTGAATTTCCCAACGGGGATTAATAAAGGTCCATCTTATCTTATCTTATCTTAAAAACCAGAGCTCACAGGAGGGTGAATTCTGAACGTGTGCACCAAATGGCAAGCCACACGTCTGAGAATAAATGATACTGCTGTTTTGTATCTGCTGGATGTGTAAATAATTTAAAACCTTTGTCACTTTCACTTTAGCAATGTCTGTTGTGCCTCAAATGAACAAAAAACCAACAGATATTGTAGGTTTGAATTAAGACATTTTCTGGGCTTGGTTTATTGTTAGTCAAGATGTTGTATACATTATGCCTTGGGTCTCCCTCAGTGTTGTATAGCAGGCTCCAGTCAGTGTGCAAAAAAGTGGCAGAACGTAGTCACGCTAAAACGAATTATACTAAAAGTAAACATTTTCTCATTTCACAGAAGTTTCCTTTAGTCTTATTTTCTCTGAGTGGTAATATGTTTACTACACCTCCTGGATAGTCTTTTGTTACAATGTTTCTTTGGTGAAATTGTACTGCTGAGACTTTAATTCATTTGGAATTAAACACTGTAAAATCGTTTGCAGATTGTAATTGCTCAAAGTGATGAATAACAGTTGGGTAAAACTTAATAAAACTCACACAATGCTCTAATTGCTCTTCCATACACACATTACAACACCTACTGCAAACGAGCATTGCTTCCTGTTGTTTTGTGAGAAATACAAACTGCCTTCTGAGACACCAGTTGTTAGCCAGTCATCCTTGGAGGCAAAACCAATGAGAAAGAAATACAAAAGAACCAACTCCAGGGTACAATAACATGTCTCTACACTTGTTACTCTGTGGCAGATTAGTCACCTGCACAGACGTGACCTTTCCTGTCGGGAGAACAAACGGGAACATTGGATTGAAGGTGCAAATTCAACATTTAAACGGCAGCAAAAACATCAGATCCTTCCGAATTTTTTTAATGGAATCATTCGGCTCAGTAATGGCTGTGCACTCAAGTAATGAATCGGGAGTATCCATGTCTGCACACTGACAGGTCCCAGTGTACCTGCTCCCCGGAGTGTTCACACGTCACTGGATCTGGGCCCAATCTGACAGTAGGGAGTCTTTGCACTGGAAATGTGTCTGTGCCTCTGAGATAAAACCCAAAAATATGCTTTTGACATTTTGGTAACGTTTAAATCATTGTATTGCTTAAATCTTAAAAGAAATAGAGATGAAGAACCACTTTAATACCTTGCCATTTGGCAATTTCTGGCTAGTGGTATTGTATGATTAACGTGTCCCAGGTGACAGGCAGGCTGGTGTTTATCAGACAATCCAACACCCACTCTCTGTTCTCAGCTTTTGTGCAAAATTACAGAAAAAAAAGACCAATTTGACTAGAAAGCCCATTCAATCCTCCGCCCTGTCAACCTGCACATGTGGGCTGTTTCTCTGCCTTTCTTTGACTGCTCTGTGTTCACCGTCCTTCCTGAGCTGAACACTTACGATGTATGTGATGAATGTGCTGTCCTGTATTGCTGAGCGTGGACTTGGTCTGCCCAGAGGAAAGCACAAGCTTATCTATGTAATGAGAAATATGAGTCGTGTCTCAAGGTTTCGTCAATATGCCACACTAAAGGGAATGGAACTCATGCCCCGTGGTCGCTTTCATATAAAAGTTATCAGGACTTAGATCTGTTATTTGTAAAGTATTTCCAGTAGCAGCAACCTAAGCTTCAGTCAAGAAGTTAGTTTTCCTCATCAGAAAAAATAGGCTAATAGAACAAAGAATGTGTGTGTTTGTATGGGTTCCTTGCGCAAGGAGAAAATGGGTCAGTGTTGCATGATCAAATCCCTCTTTGCTCTGCAGTCATTTGTCTGCCTCTCGTTAGCGGTAAATCTAGATCATTAAGTTTCATTTCAGGCTGTAACAAAGACTTCCACACATGAAAAAGAAGAGATTCAAAGACGTATTGGCGACTAGGAAGATGATTTTTATCGTAGAAGGGGGCTCTCCTTTGCTCTCTAGTGACTGTGTTAGTGCAAGGATTCAGTAATGAGCGAGCAACACATGCACACTTAGATGGAGAGGAGAAGATAGAGAATAGAAGCAGAGATGTATGATGCTGCTCTTCATCTCATTGTCTTGCTCTAGAACAGATATGGAAGCCCTTCGGCCTGAGGAGGAATAAGCAGATGATGCTCCTCTTCATCAGCGCAGTTACTGAGTGAGAAAGAAGAATGTGATTTAAAACGAAACTAATCTTATTTCAAAGGTTTTGAATATGTTTTGAAATTGGTTTTGCATGATTAATGGTTACTAAAGCATTTTATTGCCAGGGAAACTTTAATTACACTGTACAAAAAATCATCTGTTTGACTTTTATGTTTGATTCAGCAATTACTTTTCTTCATTCAGCTGAGAGAACAGGGTTTTGAGGGGTTTTTTCTTCCAGCATTTGAGTTACTGAATCGCTTCATTTGAAGCTTAATCTATTTCCTGTACGATCAAAGGGTGTTGAAAGTCTCCCGTGTACAGAGTGCAGAGCTAAACAGGTAATTAGCCAAGTGACGTTATAACTCTAGAACATTTATATGTTGTAAAAAATAGGCTGACTTCTACCAAGCTGCGTCTGTCATTCATTTCAATAGCAGGATATACTGAGCAGCATCCAAGCGATGTCTAGTTGAACACCAGTCCTCCCTCTCTGAGTAAAGAAATGAAAGAAAAGCTGAAAACACCTTGTTGTGTCGGGCTGTGACAGCCGTGATACAGCTTCTCTTATTATACCAGATTCTTAACCAGTCTGAGGCCTTAAGCTTCAACTATTAAAGCAAATGTGTTCTTTTTATTGCAATATCACTTCTGAAGATGTACAGAAAGGTTCTGGCAACGCATGTCATTTTTCCAGTAGTAATTACCCAGTATCTGAAGAGACTCTCAATCTGTCCTGGCAGTTAGCAAATCCCCACGGACGGAGCGAACTGCAGGGGAACTAAAGCTCTGATTTTGTATCTCATTAACACTTCCGATGAGATATTAATCTCCATCAGACATGGCACCACCCTGAGCATATTGTTGCTGTTCAGTCAAGAGGAAAATGATATGCTGCTGAAGGGCATGTTGAAACAAAGTGTGTTTAGCGAAGCAACACATGACATGTCAGAACTGAAGTAGTCGTGCACAAGTCCGAGACACCTTAGCAGGGTTATTTTCAGATGACAAGAAAAAGTTACCTGTCACAGAGCTGCTGTCGTTTTCCACTAATTTGTTAGTATTAAGTGGCATTTTCTTTCTTCACATTCTAGTAACTGTCAAACCCTGCTATTGTACCTTTTTCATCGTGTTCATGAAGAACAAATCCACCATCAATCCTTGAAAAACACTTAAAAGCACTTTGCTACCATCGCTATTGTATACATCTGTGAGAGTGACATTTAACATGAAGGCGCTGTAACAAACACTCAAGCTGCTTCCTCTTAAACTATAATAGATGCCATAGTTTGTTTAACACTTCTTCAAACAACCCCTTCAAACCATGGTCTCTAACTAAGGTCGGTGTTTTTTACTTCTCCAGGTGAGTGAGAACGCCAAGCAGGATCTGAAGGACGGTCTGGCTCTCTACAACTCAGAGAACAACATCGGCCTGCGAAATGCCTGGAACATCATCCAGGCAGAGGTAGGCAGACCACTCACCGTGCTTTACATATTAGAAACATTAGCATGAATGTTCAATCGTAACACTGATGGTAATACATAAATGCAAATATTCAAGCTAATGTATTTCCTGGCTTGGCTTTAATGCAGCACTAAAAGTCCAAACTAGCTGTTGAAGTATGCGTCGCTCTTTATTGCAGTCCTCTTAAGCAAATGGAATAATTACAGAAGTTGTGGCATTAAAGTTAGTTTGAAGTCCCCACGGACTGACAGCATTAACTCATTTTGTGTCACATGTGTGTGTGGCATTCACAGTGGAAGTGCTGCGGTGTGATAGCATACAGCGACTGGCACGAGGCCCTGAAGGAGAAGGTGGTTCCTGACCGCTGCTGCCAGGAGCATTACCAGAACTGTGGGCAAAACTCCACAAACATGTTCTGGAACAGGGTGAGTTACCATAAGCTCTGATTAATAGTATTCAGACATTTAAACTTGAATAAAGACAGAAATGTACCCAGGATCAACGCTGAATACTGTTTGAAAAATACACAGATTCATTCTTGGTCTTGATAAAACTATGATGCTATTAAAGAACTCTTCTTGGGCAGATGGGCCCAACTGGTCGCAGGGCCCCTGAGGCAGAGCTTCTGTTTGATGTGACTGTAAACATTTCTTGTCGTAAAGTAATTAAACAACTACAAAGAGACTCTTACTAACTGCAAAGAGATGTAAAAAGAAGTACAGAGAGAAACAAAATGACTACAAAGAGATGCAAAATGGCCACAAAGCGATGCTTCATGACTACTAAAAGACACAAAACGACATCAAAGACACTTGAAACAACCACAAAGAAATGTGATACAACCATAAGGACTCACAAATTATTCTCAATGAAACATAAAACAACCTAAAGTTAACAGTTATTTTGTGCCCAATTGGTCTGGAAACCTTGTACATGTCTCCGTCCAGGGGCCCATTCTGTCATAATCTGTCCATCGATATAACAAAGTGGAATCATCAGCCACATCCATTTGACAGAGATGATCAAAATCATAAACATTTTATAACACTCTAAAGTAGAATTATACTTTTTGTCTTATTGCTTAATTCTACTCATCGGATTTGTTTCCTTTATGTATGAGAGAACAGGCCCTTTTTTCAGCTTCTTGCACATTGTTCGCCAATCTCCCCCCATTACATGTCTAATCTCCAATTGGTTTGGCTTTTGGTTTGTTAGCAGGTCCAAAGTAGGGGATTAAAAAGTGTAATATAATTGCCAAAATGAGAACAGGCAGACATTGAGCAGCCCCACTGGGAAAGCACAGCACTAAGAGGCTGTGTGTAATCCTGCCCAGAGGAGACGGCCACACACTACACAGTTAAGACTCACATGCTGCCTCAGCACCCACACTCCAGAAAGGGCACCACTTTGCAGCTGAACCCAACATTAAGTCCTTCACCCCACCTCCCTGCTAGTGGGTGACCTGCGAATGAACCCAGATCCGTATATTTTTTAAGTAAGTGCACATATGCCCCATAAGTCTGCATATAAAAGTCATCCCTCATGGGTAATTCTCCTGTTTTAACACCTCACATGGTAGTTCATTCATCCGAGGCTGTATCTCATATAGAGATACATTGTATGTGAAAAAAATGGTCATAGGTGGTTGGGTTTTTCTAGGTGACCAAACATGCTGCATCTGAAGTGACATGATTCCTCTGTCACACAGGAAATTCATATCTCTTGAGTGTTGTTTTTAACAAGATGTATTCCATTTCAGGGCTGTTTCGAGAAAGTGGAGGAATGGCTGGATGATAACAAGCACATGCTGGGAACCATAGGCATGGTCATCTTGGTCGTGCAGGTAGTCATTTTCTCCTCCATTTTGCTTAGCTTCACTTCCATTTATTTATATATCTGGTTGCATGTGTTTGTCTCTATCTGTCTGGTAACCAAATGTCTGGAAAAAAAGAGAACATTGTGCGTCCAGTGGACTTTTTTGCCACCATCTGCTACTGAGAGTTATGAGGTCTTTGCTCAGGGTGCATTCTGGGCACCCATACATCTTGACCTATTAAAGTCCCTGTCTTCTGCATTCTGGTCTTGTCTGAGAGAATCAAAGATACCTGGCTTTGTGCCATGCAGGCTGGAGCAACCATTAAAAGATAGGACATAGATACTGAATATGGAGGACCAGGTATAGAGTCACAGATTAAAGGCATAGTAGGGAAGAGTGATAGATATTCCTTCTAAGATATCACTTCTCTTTTTGTCCTAAAATCTGTTTTATATCCTGTACGGTGAGCTTTTCACTGCCTTTGCAGTTCATTCTCCACTTACTTGGAGATTTTGTTCTAAAAGTGTCTGCTACAGTAAGTGAACAAAGCAAAGTCTACTTTCCCCTTGCGTATGCAAAAATGTGACTCCTGGAGTGTTTTGCATTTTGTGCTTTTTTGGTCCAGACTGGCAAAGTAACTGTACAGACATTAGCTAGATCAAATGCGACAACTCTGTGTGTAAAGAAAGTGTGTGTGCACAGTTTGTGTCACAACTTAGACTCTGACTGATTTCAGAACCCATCAGGAACTCCAGTGTCTGTAATATTCCTCCAGTCTCTCTCCTTCTCTTCTTTGTCTGTGATTTCATGAAATGGAGAAATAAAGCCCCGGGAGAGGCGTGAAGTTTGAGTTGAAGTTGAAACATCTTTATGTCTTGGGTTCGGGTCCAGAAACTGCCACCTGGAGGCTGTCTGTCTATATGACTAGCAGGGTAATGCAAACCTGGATGTTCTCCAACCCCACAATAGATGGATGCATTGATGGGCGTACGGGTCTTTTCTTTAGTTTGCGGCGCCTTAAGTAAATGTCTTCACATCCTTTCTAACAGAAGCCATCTGTTCTACACTTATTCCCCAGGTGCATGTAATCTTTTCTACCTTACATTGTTGGCTATATTTTGCCTTATATTTTTTAGATTTCACACATTCAGCTCTATCTCATACAAACAGAAGCTCTCTTGTTTGTGGGACTTCAACCTGCTGTCCTTGCGACCTTTAAAGCAACACGCCAAATGTAATTTAATGCTCACTTGTCAACTGTTCATTCGAATATAGTAAGTTTTACCACATTTCCAGAAAATCTGCACTGCCTTTTAACTATTGCCAAAGATGATCAACGTGATAAAAATCAAGTGTGTCCCTTAAGGGGACCTATCATGCAAAATGCACTTTTTTATGTCTTTTATACATAAATATGTGACCCCGGTGTGTCGGGGAACTCACGCAGCGTCAGAAAATATAACCCTCTCTCTTTTCCTCCGTACCCAAATCTCTAAAAACAGGGCTACAACGGAGCTGGTCCAGATTTGCGTCCGATATGACGTAATATCGGAAATGTAGGCTGGCTTTACAACCACTGCCCTATCAGAAACAATGCCCGACTGTTTTGGACGTAATATGGTCGGTGCATGTTTACATTATCATCGCTAACACTCGGAGCTAACCTGTACTGCACAGTGTGTGAAGAAGCAGGAAATGAAAAGGAACTCACCTTGTGGTGTAACCGGCAAGAGAGAAAGCCTTTGAGCTCCATACTGTTTCAGAAATAATCCTTGATAATCCATGATATGGCGTTTCATCACCGCAGTATCTGCCGGTAGTATCTCCCGTATGAGCTCAGCCCCCTCCTTTTTTTTTGTTATCAATTCTTTTTTTTTTGTAAAGCTTTATACCAAAAATCAGCACTTTTGAAACAGGAAGTGAAATAGAGGGATATGAGGCATGGCTAGAATGGGTGATCTGTTTGGTATTTTGAGCAAAACACTTCAGAGACATGTTTTTTATATATCTGAGACCTATGCTATTGCCTAAAAATGGCATGATAGGTGCACTTTAAGTCAATATTGCCCTTAGCTCAGGGGTTTCATTAAGAGCACTGCATAAAGCCTATCATGTTGTCTCCTTGCCTAAGTGTTTAGCCTCAGGCTTTCAAAGTAGTTATTCTCATAATACAGCACGTATGTACTTCTCTTACCATGGATACAATTCACTCACATCATCATCCTTTACTCTGACTTAACAGCGTTATGTCACTGATGCTAGCTTAAACAATATGGACAGCAAATATAAAGCAAAACAGTGAAATTGGATAGAAAATATAATATGTAGCAAAAGGCGAAAACGTAGTAAAAAGTAAGTTTCGTAATGTCATCAAAGGAGTTCCTTACGATGTTGCAAGGGAAAACCCTTTGATCTTTGATCACTCATAAAAAGTGCTTTTATGCACACATGTTTTCATCTGCTTGAGTGACGCTTAAGTCACATGCTTTGTGGAAACATGATTTATTTGTTCAATCTGCTTCCATTTGTCCTTCTCGTATTTCAGCATTACTGTTTCAGCATTATACAAGCTCACAAACTTTATTTAAAAAAATTGGGCTGGCTGAACTTTAAATTAATGTTATTGCCATGATTCATCCCCTGCACTTTGCCTTTCCTTTCTCATGTCATGCTTTCAAGATGTGCTCCTGCTTCACTTTCCCTGCCCTCACACTTGAGTTTGCTAATCCTTGAATCGGTAATACATTCAGAACAAGATGTCCTCGATGTAAAATGTGTGTTATGTTTTGTGATAATCCTCACAATTATTCCTTATTATGGTTCTTGAGCTTCTGTTCAAGTACATGACTGCAAAATGTCACATTATGCACAGTGTATCAGCAAACTTCAGCCCTCTATTCATTCATGTGAAGTTCACACTTTCCTCTCACACACTCACCGACTTTCTTCTTTCTGTCTGACACTTTCTCTTCCATGTCTATTAATTATTCTGCAAACACACACACACACACACACACACACACACACACACACACACACATTCGCACATACAGTAAGCACATGCAGAACAGTGACAAATATTGGCTTTCGTCTTCACACAGAATTTAATCCCACATCGCCGACTAGGCTGACATTAATTTGAATGATGCCTTATCCTCTCTGTACAAACACAAACACACGCTCTCCTCACACTGAGACCGGTGAGACGTGGGAGAGCCAAAGAGCAGACCTTTAGCTGTCAGATTTGCAACCCCAAAGACAAGTTGGAGGACATGATTGAGATGAACATCATAAAAAGCTAATGCCCATGTCTGCAATGTTACATAATAGCCTGAGGCAAGGAGACCTGGCTCATGAATGATTTAGCCCAGCAGCATATATGACAGACTTTGGTAAAAGCTTATATGTATAACTTCATCCACAATGATTGCAGAACTCTTTGCGGTAGTTAAATATTCTTAAGCAGAGGCTGTTTATGGAGCTTTTGAAGAGTCCTGCAGGAGCGAATGTCATGCTGTCTCACTCAGACTGAATGAAGTAGACAGCAAAACCCTTCTGTGGATGTCGGAGCTGCACAGTTGAGCCACATATTTTGGGTTTGTTTTTCATTGGTCCAAACTCCCTCTAAGCTGGATGTTTACCTCATACGGCCCTTCATGTTTGATTGGCAGCGGCTTAAGGTAGCATTTCCTATGAAGCAGCCCTACGAATTAGGCTTTGACTTAAACTAAAGGAGGAGAATCGGCAGCTCTCCCAGGCTAATCACATCCCGCAGGAATCCCCAGTGCATTCTGTTTGCAGAAAGTCCACGTTGCGTTTTTAGCAAAGACTATGCACACTACTCTGCCGTTTCCCTGCCATTACAACTTTGACAGATAATGGTTTTAGGATCATCCTTGTGACTGTGTTTGATGTAGAAGTATCAGGGGTAATGGAAACTTCAAAGAGATAGCAGGCTACTTTGATTCAGTGGCATCTCAATTTACTTCATTGACTTAATGCTTCTGCACGTTTTTACATTTTCTCCATCACAAAGATTCCAGAGCTATCGTTTGAAGGGGGGAAAAAAGAGAGTGAACGAAACATGTGCCTGTGCTCCACTACAGGATTTATAGTGCATCTAAACTAAATGTGGCCAATGGCAACAACATCAAAAAGAGCACACACAGACACATATATATACACATATATATATATAAACGTACACACACACATATATATATACAGTATATATATATATATATTTATATGTATACATGCAGACACAAATTCAATATCTTCTTCTCATCTCCTCCACAGCTCCTGGGCATGGCGTTCTCCATGACGCTGTTCCACCACATCCACAGAACGGGGAAGAAGTACGATGCTTAGCCTTCGGGGAAGGCACCCAATGGAGAGGAGCCCCACTGCCTGATGGGATAAGACTCTGAATTAAACACCCCTGCCCCCCTCACTTTACAACCTCTTGAGAGCATTCTTTGCCCCCCCCTTATCATAGTCTCCTCACTGTTGGTTACTAAGAGAAAGAACGGTTTTGTCCACAGGAAGAGGGAGGCATACACATGGAAACCGTTTTACCTACCACCTTACTCTCCCCTGTGTCGACCTTAGACTTGTCTTCCANAAAATAGGGACACCTTGTATTGTTTACTCTCAGTACAGCACCACTTTCCAATAATAAGTGTCGGTGCGATTTTATGTTGTATTAGCGTGCATTTCCTGTTTGGAAAGTGGTGCTGTACTGAGAGTAAACAATACAAGGTGTCCCTATTTTTATATATATATCTATATATACAGTATATATATACATACATATGTATATAATAAGTGTCACGATACGATTTTATTTTGTATTTGCGTGCATTTTCTGTTTGGAAAGTGGCGCTGTACTGATAGTGGCAATTTTATTTTGGAATTCTTAGCGTGCACTTCCTGTCCTGAGAGTGGAGGTCTCCTCAGAGTGCAGGTGTCCTGAGACTGCTGCCTGCTGGCAGGCTCCCATGGAAGAGGGGGAGGAAAAGGGAGGCTCCGTTTTTTATTATTATATTATTATTATATAGAGTCGTTATCAATTTGTTTTAAAGCTCAATAAATAACAAAGAAGGCCTTTGACCGGCATTTTTCTAATTTTGTCCGGAAGATTTCAACCGACATGTTGACCAACGAAAACAAATCTAACTGAAACTCTGCTGCACGGTCCTCCCGTTCCTTGGAAGAGGCGGAGAGGTGGGTGTTTGTCATCTGCTGGTGGACTAACCGGAGAGAATTGCATTGAATTACAGCAACAGGAGCAAACGCTTGCCTGGGGAGGGAGAAAAAGAGCCAGAGCGTCCACAGCGGAGAATAAACAGAAGGGCAACCATAGCCGCATTCACACCGCAGGACTTTCCCTGGTACTTTGGTTCTTTAGTTCCGTTAGTACCAATAATGTCGCGTTCACACCGCCGGGACTACTCAGTGCCGGGAACTCTTTTGACCATTTTCAGTTCCTGCTAGAGAGGTGGTACGAACCTGGTGATAAAAGAGTGCCAATTTCTATTCTATTTCTATTGGCTGGGCGAATTGCAAACCACGCCCCGTTAGACTGAATTTTTTTTGTTAGGCAAAACCACATCCACATGTTAGGCAAAACCACATCCACACTTGAGCGAGTAGTTTTTTTGTACTTTAAAGCAGTTATGACCACACGTACTACAACACCGGAGCTCAGTGAACTCCATCATGTCTGAGGTCGGAAAGTAAACAAACGCCTCATGTACAGCGGGTGGGCTTTATACCCACTCCCCCGTGTAGTTCTTCTTCTCTCGTTTTTTTTTGTACTTGCCGTGAAGTGGTTTTGCGGCCTGCCAGTAAACCCAGAGAAGAAAAGAACGAAGTGACGTCAGAGTAATCTTGCCTCAGGGAAAGTACTGCGGTGTGAATGCGATTGGCACTAGCCCCCTGGCGGATTCAGTGCCGTGGTACTTTAGTGCAGGCACTAAAGTACGGCAAGTGAAAGCGGCTCATGGCAACCATGCACGGGAAGTCTTCTTCGCTACTTTTGTGGCAGACTACAGTGCCACTTACAGGCCTGGCATATGTACTACAGCGTCTCCAGCGCTTTTGAGCGGTCTCGTGTTAACGGACACGTTTCTGGTGCCTGTTGCGTGTGGACCATAGATGTGGACGGAAGACTTTTTTGATAACGATTGCGGTCCGTTTGCGTTATCGTCCTCGTGTGACTGGGGCCTAAGACTACCCTTAAAAAGGATTCATAAAGGGTTTATAATTAGGTTATGAATTAGGTTGGAAACACTTTATTAATCATCAAGAACCATTTATAAACCAGTTCTAACATAGTTTTCATACATCAACACAGGCTCACTATTTGGCAAGATCACTAAGCCTTATATTGGCTACTTAGCGAGAATCAACTCAGTGAGCAACAGATACCAAGGATGCTGGCTGATGAAGAAGACAAAGTAAGCTAAGTAGCCAATATAAGGCTTAGCAGTACAGATAAAAGTGGGCTCACTATTTGGCAAGCAACCGGTCACAGTTGCCCTGTTTATCTCATGTCTTATAAAAGCTTATTAATGATTTATAAAGTGTTCACAACCTAATTAATAAATTAATTACAAACTATTCGTAAACCCTTTATAAGGGTAGTCTTATTGTAAAGTGGTACCGATTCATGTTATGACAACTGTGTTATACTGCCTGAGGATAACAAGGCCAAAGTGAATAAAATGAAACTTGAGCTAAACACACCCTGAACACACCAGGTGACGAACAAGCTTTCTTTACATAGAGATAATATATTCTATACACATCTGTTGTGCCATACTGCTAACGAACCTTTTGCTTAAGTAAATAGAAATCACTTCTACCATTACAGCACAAAAAAGACCCTACATTGTGGAAAATGCCAACCATACTGCAGTACTTTAGGTTGGAGCAACTTTATCACTTTTTTTTTAAGACCCTCTGCCCTTTGCTGTTTCCTGTTCTTTCCTCCTTTCTTTATTGGTAAAAAAAAAGTGTTTTCTCTTGCGCCACAGAACATCTATTGCTTTAGCCAGTATTGATATTGCACTCAAATGAAGGCAGAGGATATCCACCTCCTCTGACAAAGAACATCTTTTTTTTATTTCTCAACAAGTGATCCCATGAAACTGTGATTCATGCAGCCATAAAGTACTAAATGGCCCGCCCGCTATGAGATGGAAACGGAATACGAGAACAACAAACATATAAAGCTACCGTAAACATCAAAAGGAAGGCGTAAAAAAGCCTGAAAGTGAAGTCAGGCTTTTTGTATTATCTACCGAGCACGTGGAAACGATTTTCTTCAAGGCATGCTGTGAAAGTAAAAGAGTAATTTTATGTAAGAGGCTTTTTAAATGTGCCTGTTAGAAATGAAACAAAACAAATCCTGGTTTTTGCAACCATTTTTTTAATATTATTATTTCTAACATTATCTTGATTTTTAATTTGAATCACCTTGACTTAAAAAAAACGTTTTGTGTTTGATTTAGGTTTGCTAAATAAAGGACTATGTTAATTTATGCCCTTGTCTTTTCACTAAAACTCAGCCTTGTTACAGAGTAGCTGTATCCGACCAAACAGATTACATGAAAATCAATTATTCAAAGTCAATTTGTGCCAAGTGCAATTTTTCTTGTTGGATTCAAGTACACAAACAATCATCAAATATTTGTATTTCAACAATCCACTTAAGAGCCGTCAAAGTGTGATACAAATTCTCTTAGAACAGGATACAACTTTAATTGCACTTTGCTGCTTGTAACCAACTTTCATTCAGATGGACAACAGAGAAGTGCTGTATTATGCTGTGGTTGTGGTTAAAGTGTATATGGGCATTTTGATACCCTCTTTATTGAGGCTCAAGTGACACAACTTTCAGAACCACTTGTCAAGCCTAAAAGGTAAAACAAAAACAACAGCATCGTTTTCAGAATAATATTTCTATTGACTATCACTGAATTCTTGCAACATATCAACAACTGCAAGGGCACTTTGACACCTCAGCCAAGGTCAATCTGCGACGTATTTGAAAGGATCCTTCCTTTGACCCTGCCTTACCCTTCCACAAACTTTCATGAAAGTTTTATGAAAGGCCTGTATTCTGTGCCGTACTGCATCCAAAACCTTCGTATATCCAGATGGATAAGAGCCTTGGTGGAACTAAAGCTGCTTCATAAACTATATTTATGAATTAAAACTGTTATGATGTACATTTCTCAGTGAAGTGTGGGTATTTACAGTGAAATGAACCCCTAACCATTCCATTAGGAAGCCTACGTGTTACATTACATACCTTTAGCATAAAGTCTTGATGACAGCATATATAGGCAATAAACAGCTTTCCAGTAAAACTCTCCACATCTTTATCCCAAGCTTTCCGCAGGCATCCCCATCATTCCCCCCGTGAATACGGTATAGCCGATGTCTGTTGTATAACAAGTAAATAATTCACAGGTTCTGCGATGATGGCTAAGGAAGTGCTTTCAATCTCAAAATAAACACTGTAGGAATTCAAAGGATTGAGATGCATGTGGGGCATGATATCAAAAACCCTTCCTGGTTATAGCTTGATTGACCCAGAGGCGTCCTGGCTGGGTAACACAATGTGAGAGATCACCTAGAAAATCCTCATGACTGATAACCACTTTCTTTAAGCATTTTATTTTGGGGCTTTTATGGTTCAAGTACATATTGTTTACACATTTCAATTGACATTCAGCATCTGTCCTGGAACTCTTATAAATACATTCCCATATAAGAGTTGCGACTATCCATCACATGCTTATTCAAGCATCCAGAATGGTGCAATTCTGTAGTGGTTCTGGTTGGAAGCCTAAACTGGGCACTTTGAAGAGCGAGCCTAGATTACCATGCTCTCCAGTGATGCAGCCATCAATGATGCAGGGTTTGCCATCCCTCCCTCCCTCCCTCCCTCACTCCCCCTCTCTCTCTCTCTATCTCTCCAGAGAAGAGCAGAAAGGCCTATTCATCGCAAAGTGACTCTAAATCAATTGCGCCAGGAAGGATTAAAGACAGACAAGCCATTCTCTGGCTGTCCGAGCCATCCCTGCTGTCGTATCAACACTCTTTCACACCTGACAACAGCCTCTATCCTTAAAAAAAAAAAAGCCAGGACAATGGCATAAGAAACGCCATTAGACATCCCTGACTAATTCTGCCGTTAGATCTCTAACATTCCAACAAGACTCTTCAATCAGCCTAAGAAAGCCACAGGCACTTCCATTATGCATTGAGGACAAGAAGGAGAGCAGGAAGAAGTGGAAAGTCACCCACAGATTGGGGCTAGAGAGAGAAGCTCTGTGGGGAAGAGACTCTGAGACATTCCTAATGTAGGAAAATGGGCACCCACAAGCCAGGCACCAAGGCACTCAGTACAGTTCCAAAGCTCTAGTCCAAATAAAAACAAACACCAGAACAAGAGAGCAAAGCTTGAGG